CTGCTGCTCATTATGACTCATTACGCAGAGTTTTTACACCAGTAGGAACACGTGCCATGATAATGCCATCTCTGCAGTGCTGACACAGCAATTGGCTTCACCAATAATGGGGGAGGGCAGGGAAATCTCTGGGTACTATTCATGTAGATGAAACTTTTGCAGCTGTCATAGAATAGTCAATACACCTCTCTTTCCAGTTTATACAGAAAAATTTATTTTAATGAGTGTGCAAAAAAATAATTTAAAAGTCTAATGGCTGGAGAAATTACGTCCTCAAAGTTCAAGACACTATGAGAACAATTCACTAAAACATGCAAGATACACAGCTACAATCACAACTCACATTAATGGTTGTTGATAAGAAATACACAGCAAATGTCCTGGAATCGCAGCCCAATAGTTTTATTTGGAACTTGAAAAAATTCTCATGTGTATGTTTTTTTGTTTAAAAAGCAGCATTCTGACTAGTTTATTAAACACAGAATTGGCTAAGCAATGACAATAGACGAATGTTTCTATTCAAATCAGCAAATCCAACTTGCATGTTATTAGCATTAAAATCTACTGTACATTACTAGCCTATTGAAGCCAGTGAAAAAATCTGCAATCACAACTGAAGATCCCAAAGAAAGGTGTTTGTTTAACTGAAAGCAGACATGTCAAGTCACTGACACCATAGGGCACTCCCCTATTGCTGATTTCAGTTTATCAATAACTGACTTTCATCAGGGAATCATTACTTGCGTATACTCCCATCCCTACCCCCCACTCGATTTGGGATGAACTTAGGTAAGGTGGCAACTAGTTCCTGAACCACATCTCCATTCATTTCCATTCCCATTCATTTAAAGATGGTACCTTGACAAATAATGTGATTTACTAACTAATAACTGACATACTTACTGCTTTTCTGAACAATTCTAATTCGTTTTCTGTATAGTCAGATGCCATTTTAGTTATTTCAGTTTCTGCCAAATTCACCTACAAAAAAATCAAAATGAAATCAAAATGCCATTGTACTTCTACACCATAAATTGTAAAAGATCCTCTGGGGTAAAGAATACATCATCTTACAATTAACAGAAATGCCATTTCTTTAAGTGGAAAGAGGCTGTTCCTTAAAGATGGCACTTGATGGTACTCGAGCTCTTTCTTTACAACCCCTGATCTTCCAGCCACCTGTTCTCCACAGCTGCCTCTGCCCAGCCCAAGCTCCTAAACAATCCCACCTAACCCCTTCAGAACCAATACAGAATATAGTAGAACTAATATATTACAGCAGGATACTGTGCTGGACAGTAGCAGTAACTATGTTATAATACACATTTTTGTTTCATTGTGAAAAACAGTTACTGATATTTCATATTCTTATTGCACATTCTACTGCTATTTTTCATTAGCTCAACTTAATTGGCAAAATGACCCAGAAAGGTTAAAAGCAGCAGCTAATGTTAGAATACCTCTTGTATGGTCTTTTGGAATTACTATATAACCTTCCCTCTTTGACACGCACATTTCAGAGCGCCTCAGGAAACTTTAAAGACCATTCCTTAGCAATGCTTTTATGCTAGGTTGATTTCCGAGTAAGAGAAAAATAAAAACTAATGTTGGAGAGCTCTCCTTGTTTTCTAGCTTCAAAATTCCTCGAGAAAGAAAGTCTCCTGTGAAAACGAAATCCCACTTCTGCACTTAAGCAATGTTTACGCTAAATAAATCAGACGCTGCTGTAGTCCTTGCTGCCATGTTCCACTTCCACGCACCCAGGTTCCTGGGAGTTTATCCTCCCACTCCCCTGTTCTGGCAGGAGCTTCTCCAGCAGCTGCCCCTGCCCCAGCGGCACAGCCCCGCATCAACCACGCGATGGCAGCACGTCACACACTCACCAAAGCGTAATGTGCTCGCCCATCGCCCTCCGACATTCCTTTCCGGATCTGCATAAACAAAGGCTGTAGATGGCTGTTAATAGTACTGATGAAATCATCTAGTTTATCGTGCGCGTAGTACACTGAAAATAAAAAAGAAAAAGCACATACACAAAAGAATCAGGGAGACCCTTTTATGTTTTATCTGCTGAAACCTCTTCTTCCTAGGTAAAAGAGCTAAAAGTTAGTGAGGCACAATTCAAACTGGTCTGTTGCGTTCAGCAGACCTATCGTGTTCTTGGGCTGCTGACTCCTAGCCTCAAGCTCAGCTCCTTGAAAGTGTCAGAGTTTAGAGAGAGTTCAGACATTCTGCCTCACTGTATGGAACCCACCACATTCATCCATTAATTACAGTGACTTGAACTAAATTGAATTGAAAATAAAACATGACCAGGAAAAAATTACTGTGCACAATACAAAAATATTGTTTGCTTTCATTTACACGCAAGGGATCCCTTGTTTCTTTGTGTTCTGTTTCACACATTAATGGCATGTAAATGATCAAATTACATACCAGAAAACTTAAAAATCTAGCATTGTAGAAATACAGGTAATACCTTGTGTCATGCTCTATAAACAAATTAAATACCAGCAGAAGTTCTATCACAGGCATAATTAAGGTGGACTTTGGAGTCATTCTGTGAAGACTCCGCTAGGGCTTTTTCTTGCACAGCAACAACACATGCCCTCGAGAGTTGCCTTCCAAAACAAAATGTTATCGTCAGTGGCAAAACTCCTGATGACTTCAGGAGGCTAGGGTTTAAAAAACCAGAGTTAACTAACAGCTCATAACTTGAGAAAAATTATTTGACTCAAAAATACTACTAGTTATCACTAACTGGACAGTATGCTCAGTTACGAGTCAATCACTTGCGTAACAGCATCAGACAGAAGGCCCACTCTCAAAACCCCACTATACTATTTTGTACAATGCAAACACATCACAGGACGCTCCTGCCCAGAAAGTTCATGATTCTGATACATAAGACTCCTTAAGTGAACAAAACCAACAAACAGCAAAAGCAATAAATAAAGTAAGTATAATATTAGAGTAAATATAATTTTGTCCAATTGTCGTGCCACCTGCCTGGCACCTGTCAG